CAAGTGGCCGCTGATAAGGAGGTGCCAGGAACAGAACAGAGGGGGGATCCTCAGGATAAACCTGTGTGGTGAGCTGTCCGTCCATGATGTCCGTTGGGTCCCCCCACGTGGCCCTGGGGTGCTCTGCAGCAAACCTCTAGCATTGATGTGGATGCACAGACCAGACAGAGCCCGTCTCAGAGAGCGGAGAACATGGCTGGGTTCTCGCTCTCGCTCTGTGAAAGAATCTTGCCTCCCCAGATACAGAGGGGACCATGCCGTGTGCAGGGACAGTGCCGTGCAGAACCCCTGGAGTTGGAGGAGTCCTTGGTGTGGATCTCATGGAACCAGGTGGCCTGGTTGCACATTCTGTGTCCTTGCCTCACTGGCCCACCATCTGCCTCTCAGCCCCGAGCTGGTCAGACAGCGGTCCCACAGAAAGTATCCCCAAGAAGTGGAACTGAGAAGGCCAGGCCTGGGAAGACACTCCTGAGAAGGGACTTAACTGCTTCTTTCTCTCTTCCTCCCACCCTTTCTCTTTTTTAAAAATTTAATTATTTTCATTGGAAAGGCAGATTTACAGACAGAAGGAGAACCAGACATCTTCCACCTGCTGGTTCATTCCCCAAGTGGCCACAATGGCTGGAACTGAGCTGATTTGAAGCCAGGAGACAGGAACTTCTTCCAGGTCTCCTACACGGGTGCAGGGTCCCAAGGCTTTGGGCCATCCTCGACTGCTTTCCCAGGCCACAAGCAGGGAGCTGTACAGGAAGCAGAGCGGCCAGGACACAAAATGGCACCCATATGGGATACCATGCTTAGAAGTGGAGGATTAGCCATTTGAACCATTGCACTGGCCCCTAGACTGTTTCCTTAAGAGAATGTGAGTGTGGTTTGGCACAGCCCCTGCCTGGCTGTCTTTGTGCACGAAGCTGGTCCTATGCTGTGGTTTGTGCCCTTACAGCCACAGTGAGAGATACTCAAAGTAGACACCAGAAAGGACTTTTTTGGAGTGTGCACTGTCAGTTATAGGGACAAGGGCCACCCCAGCTGGCCAGGCACGCTGCTGGGACAGAAGCATGACAGCACGATGCCTCTGTCTTATACCCGGGAGCATGTGTGGGACCCTGTTCCACCTCGGGGTGTACTGGGCACTCATAAGGGCAGGTGCAGGGCCTGGCCTGTACGGGAGTGCTCGAGCCATGTGGTTGGACTTGACATGTGCTGATCTTCACAGGTAGCCTGGATACCAGGCCATCTCTGCCTGGGGAGGCTGGGCAAGGCCTTACAGAAGAGGTGGCCCTGGCTGTGCCACGGGACTGGAGGGTTCCTAACCATGCTATTCAACCTGGGTAGATCCCCCAATTCTTATTCCAGCTCCTAGGGCATCTTAGCAAGGTGATAGCTATGTTAGTTAGCTGCTGGAAGTAATTATTTCACAGCGCATATGCATATGGGATCAGTACATCACTTGCTTTAGATACACAGAAGATGAACAAGAGGAGACGCCATGAGCTTCCTGGCCTTTTCCTGTTCCTGGCTGCAGGCTGAGGAACCTGTGAACCTGTGACCTGCTCTAGGGAGCCGGCAGGAAAGGGGGCCCTCCCTCCAGCTGGGAGGAGGGGCTCTGCTCTAGGTCCACCACAGCAGACCCAGGCCCTTACTTCCTCTGTTCCTCTCACAGGACAAACCCATTGTTCCCGCCACCTCGCCCCATCTCGGTGGGTGCTTAGGGCAGGGTCTCCAGCTCGTGCCACCTCCAGCTCCCTGCCCTTGGCACTTCCCTCCATCTTACTGCACCTGCTCCCGTCTCCAGGAGCTGCTGCTTCAGGAGGCGGAATTGTCCTCCCATGCAGCCAGAAGCATCCTCCTCTCGTGCCCAGCACTGTGCCTACCTTCTCCCCTTCCCTGCCCTGCCTTATATCCTGTTCCCTGGGGAGCATGCTCCCCCATCTGAGAGGATGCGAGGGCTCTACACTATCCCAGGGCTTCTGGGAGGAAGGCTTCAGAACCAGGCTGCGGCTGTCAGCCAGGTCCCTGGCTCTTCCTGTCCTTGGGATGGGAAGCTAGAGCAGAGGAAGGCCAGTGTAGCCTGGGACTCCTCTGGAGGGTGCTGCCTGCACAACCACTTGGGTCAGAGTCCCAGGAAGCTAGCACTGGAGCTTAGTGGTGTGCAGGGGTACGGTATGTGTGTGTGTTGTGTGTGCGCATTGTGTGTGGTGTATGCACAGTATGGTATGTATATGCAGTACAATGTGTGTGTGCAGCTTAGTGTGTAGGACATTGTATACGTATGTGGAGTGTGCATTATGTAGTGTATGTACAGTGGTCATAGGGCAGAGCCGGGCTGAGTGCAGGCATTGTCAGGTGGCACAGTCCACATGGGTCAGATCCCTGAGCTTTTCCCCTTCCTGAGGCCCGGAGGAGGAACCAGGTTTGTCCGAAGCCACACAGCCAAGATCTCAACTAAAGACTGAGGCTTGAGTGATATCCATTTCTTTCAAAGGGTTCTGTTTTTGTAGGGGGTGCTAAGAGTGAGAGAGATCTTTCATCCAGTGGTTCACTACTTGAATGCCTGCACTGGTTAGGGAGTAGGGCTGGGGCAGGAGCCAGGCACTCATTCCAGGTTTGCCACGAGGGCAGCAGGAACCCAGTGGTGGAGCCATTGACGCTGCCTCCCACGGTCTCCATTAGCACGGAGCTGGAGCTGGATGGCTGGGCTAAGAGCCAGCTCCTGTGTGTGACATACACAATCCAGCGCTGCAGCCTCCACCTGTGCCGTCACATGTGACACAAGCCTGCCCAGGACACCAAAAGGCATGTCGTCCAAGGGCCCATGTGGCCCCATTCACAAGCCCTGCTCCTTGTAGATAAGGTGGCAGCAGCTGAGCAGTGCAGCTGTACCCATTCGTGCCCTCCTGCTGCCCCAGCTCTGAGGATGCCTGGAATGTTTCTGCCTGCACCGCTGACCTCCCGGGACAGCCAGGACAACCTCTGTATGGGTTTCTGGTGTGGGGTTCCTCCACCACTCCAGGACCTGAGGTGTCAGTTGAGGAGGGCCTGGCGTTGGATCACACTCTTGGCCTCCCTCTCCAATTCTGCCAGTCCCTCTACCTCACCTGCTTCCTGGCACCAGCCTTGCCCCTTTTCTTTCTGTGGGAGTGCCAGGCCCCACAACAGGGCTCCCCTACCCAACCCTGGCTGAACCCTGTGTCTGAGCAGGAAGTGGGGGCCTGCTCCTCCCCAGGGGAGAACAATAGGGTTTTTGCTTAGTTGGGGGGAGGAATACAGACACACCAGACACCCCTGCAGGGACAGCCGGTTGGGGCTGGGCCCAAGTCACATGCCCGCTGGCTGCTCCTTGAATTCCCGGGTTTCTGTCGGGACACATCCAGAAACACAGCAAGTCAATACTGAGAGACAGTGGCTCCTGGCAGCACAGCAAGAGTGGGGCCTGAGCCACGGGAACCTAGGGGCGGGGAGTGGGCACTGCAGGAAGAGCCGGTGCACTGAGTCCCTGCCTCCCTGGCCACGGCAGCGTCCCGGAGCCTCTGCACCTTCCCTGCTTAGCCATCACCTGGCCACATGGGCCCTTGGAAGGCCCTGCCTTTTGGGGTCCTGGGCATGCCTGCGTCATATGTGACGGCCACAGGTGGAGGCTGCAGGGCTGGACTGTTCATGTCACACATGGCAGCCGGCTCCTAGCCCGGCCTCTTGGTCCTGCGTCTCCCCTGCCTTACCCTGGAGCCATTGGACAAGTGGTCACAGCTTCAAGCAAGAGGAAGGGAGCTGCAGATGGAGCTGGCCTGGGTGATGGCGTACAAGTTCCTGGCTTGGCCCACCCCGAATATCCTCTCTCCTACAGGCCATGGAGCAGAGCCGGGCTTTATGAGATAAAAAAATGCCTGAGACTAAACAGTCTTTTTATAGCTGGGGACTCGCTGGTGTCCTCCCCACCCTTATTGGCCAGCCCTTTGGGGCATACTCCAAGTCTCAGGGTGGGGGGACCCAAATGTGTCAGATGCACACGTGCAGCCCCAGATGTCCCTGCTCCCCTGGCTCACATGACCCTGGTTCCTCCCTGTCTGTGCCTGGGCGCATGGGGCTTGGACGTGGCCCATAGCACCCTGTGGAGGCGTGGATGTCAGAGAGAAAATGTTTATTGTGTATGTCCTGCTCCTGAGGCCATTGGTCAATACAGGCTCATTGGGTCCCTGGTATCCATCCCTGTTTTTACAGCAGAGGAATCCTGGGGGGTGGGGTGCAGTGCTATGGTCAAGAGCTCAGTGGAAGAGAGAGTGATCTTCAGACATTCTGGCTTCAAAGCTACATGCTCCTTCTAGTTGCTTCTCTACAATATAGCATGGCCACGGAGAGACCAAAGGGCTCTGACTTGTGGTTGGTGTGAGGATTCAATGGGATTATTTGGCTATAGGGGAAGCAAACTGTGACCCATGGGCAATGCCAGGATAACCACCTGAATTATTTTGTGCAACGGGCATCTCAGAGGACAGTTTCATGAAAGCCACCTGGAGGGTCCCAGAGATAATTTGAGAGGCTTGGAATGTTCTGGATCATGAATCTACATGATCAGGGTCAGGGATCATCATGCCTTGCCAGACGTGAGTGTGGGTATCCCGTTGGATGTGCTGAGCTGAGTCCTGAAAGCCTGTGGGAGAAGGTAGATGGAGACCTGGGAGGGGAACAGACAGGAAGGAGATGGCAGAGAGCCCCCAGACTGTGGGACTGTGGTATGGATGATCCCACAGCTGGCTCTGCGGTGCGGACATGGGGAGACTGCAGAGAAAGAACAGGCAAGTGGCCCTGGAGCCCTGGCTTGGCCCAGCCCTCAGGATCAGCTGCAGTGGTCAGACCGGGATGTATTTGTGAGGGGTGAGGTAGGCTGGGGTCTGATGGGAGCCCTGAGCCCTTCCCCTGCCCACTGTGGGGGCTGGAGCTAGACAGTGCAGGGAGGCCCTGAAGGCAGCTACCAGCCCCCTGTCCGGTGTGTGTCCCTGCAGAGACCTCAGCATGAACAACCTCACAGAACTTCAGCCCGGCCTCTTCCGCCACCTGCGCTTCCTGGAAGAACTGTGAGTAGACATTCTCAGGGGGCAGGAGATGTGGGGGTCCCTGGGAAATGTGGGTTTGCATGGGGCAGGTAGACTCGAAGGGAAAGACAAGCTTGGGTAGCGAAGGCTGCCTTTGGCAGACACCTGCTGGAGGTGTGACCCCCTCGGCCAGGGAGTCTGACACCCACTCTCAGCCCACCCTGAACCGACTCCTCTTTGGAGCTTTGCCTGTTAATGTCAACCATTATGCTCCTTCCAAAAGGGCACCTTTTAAGAACATTAAAATGTATCTATTTACAAATTTCTTCATTTGTGAGAGAGTGCTTCTTCCACCTGCGATTCACTCCCCACTACTGAAGAGCAGGGATGCACCTGCTCTGAATCTGTAGTCCAGACACCTGCTCCAGTGAGGAGTCACCTATGAGTTACTCTCAGCCTCTGCCTAGCAACAGCTGATCCCACATCCATGTGGCTCTCCTCTGAGATGCTTATCGCCACTGTCCTCATGTCTGTGGATGGAGAGGGGAGGCCAGGAAACCTTCCTGGAGGAGGACTCTAAAGTCAGTTAGCAAAGGTGTAAGACAGAGTCAGAGGCAGTGGGGTAGAGCTGGCTCAGCTTTTGTGACAATGAAATTCAGAAGAGGCGGCCTGAGGGTGCAGAGCTGGGGGCTGGTGACTGGGGTTGGGGGAGGGACGGGAACTCAAGGCTGGCTCCTTGAGAAGGGGCTACCTCCTGGCAGACACCCAGCCTCAGAATCCGAGGTCCACAGAACTCAGCTGCCCAGGGCACATTTGCCCCAGGTGTGCACTCTCCTTGGAGGTATAGCAGTGGACACAGTGCTGATGGGGTATTCAGATTGGGCACGGTATGGGTGAAACATGGATAAACTTTAGGTTTACACTTGGCTCACAATGATTTGTAAATATTCCTTTTTTTTTCTAAATAAGCCCGAATCTGAGATGCTTTTCACCAAGTATATTTCAGGTTATGATCCCTCCACCAGTTGTGGAGGGTCCTCAGAGGGCTCCGTCGTAGCTGAGAGGTAGCTGTGAGTGGTAGCAGCCACCCTCAACCCCTGCAGAGTTCCACCTTGACCCATCTGCCCGTGCCTCTGACCTTGGCCTCTGATTTCCAGGCGCCTCTCTGGGAACCACCTCTCCCACATCCCAGGACAAGCCTTCTCAGGGCTCTACAGCCTGAAGATCCTGTAAGTACTGGGTCAGCCATGGTTCTTACTGCCCTTGCCTGGTCCAGAGCAGTGACCCTGGGTCCTGATGTGCAGCTGCCCTGTGGCTTCCATTTCTTTGCTTTAGCTGGTCCCTTCAATGCCTTACAGTTTGGCAGCAGGCATTTGTGTACACGAGGGGAAGCCTCACGTATCCAGTGGCCCCACAGGCAGGTGAAACATCTTTGTGGGCTTTGCCGTGTGAGCCATGACCACTTGCAGGTGGGTTGGCGGGGTCTGGCTCACACTCGCAGGAGCTGGGCGGCAGGGTTGGTGGTGAGGAGGCAGGAGAAGGACCTGCTGTTTCACGGAGGAGAAGGCTGCCGCAAAAGGGAAGGGAGGTGTGGCTCAAGAGGACCTAGCGATCTTGTGATATTCCTCTCCCCTTTCTTCCCTGGTGGCTAATGACCCATTGTAGAGAAAGGAAGCCTGAGGCACCATCTCTTCCCATCCCTGTCTATGACCTGTCTTTCCTGATGAAGAACGGGGTTCCCCAGTGTTCCTCCACATTCTCAGGATGGGTGAAGGTGAAGGAGGCGTGGGAGGAGTGGGTCCCCGAGTCAGTGCAGTGGGGATGGGGTTCCCCTTGCCCCAGCAGGGACTAGTTGTAGTGGGGGAAAAGTGACCATCTTGGAGACTAAGCTTGTCAGAATGGAGTGAACATTTTGACTGTGGGGCTTCCCTGCAGTGGCAAACCCTTCCACAGCTCTGTCACTCTCTCATTCCTAACTATTCTTACAAGTTGTCCTTGCACAATTGAACAGGTTGCTGACTGGCCAAGGGGATAAGGGGCTGAAACCCCTTATCTGTGCCCTGGTGTGGAGCTTCCTCCACCTGGAAAGAGATGTTTTTTCCTAATCTTCTCAAAGCTGCTTGTGGGCTGGCAGTGACCTTCTCTGCCGACCCAGGGCACAGCTGCTCAGCCGTCCTCAGGCACCAACCCCTGTCCCTGCCACCCTTGGTCTTGGGCACCACTGGCTCCCAGCCGCACTTTCCCTTTGCCCTGCCAGCCTCTCTGCTTTCCATTTGGCCCTCACTCTTGGACCCTCCTGCCTCTGGCCCCACCTTGGTGCCCTGGCCTGGCTCCCCTCTCCTCCTTCCCCCTCTGCTCCCTGCCTACCCTCTCGGTCCTGCTCCTGGGAGGTGGCTTGTCTGTGCCTGGTGGGGTGGCAGGTTTAGACCTGTATCCGGGCTCCATCGGCTGGGCCCTCCAAGGGAGGCACGCAGCCTGTTCATAAGTCTGAGTTCCTTAGAGCTGAGCCGCTCCTTTCTTCTTCGCCTGCATTGGGCAATAAATCAAAGCCTTGGAGCCACCACAAAGGCGGGGGGCGGGGGGCCGCAGAGACTGTGGGGAGTGGGGTACGCCTGGGCGGGGAAGCCAAGGACTTTTTGCCTGCGGGGCTGCTCTGTGCAGGGGGGTGGTCTCTTGTACCCCCTTGCACCCCAGGTCCAGGGCGCCAGCGCACAGTGGGCTTCTGAACTGGTACCAGCCCTGGGCAGGACAGTGTCACACTGTCCTGGGAGTGTGGTCCTGGAAAGGGTCCCGCTGGAGGCTCCCCCTGGCTGACCTGAGGTGCCTGCCCTGGAAGGCATGCTGGCTGCCTCCACGTGAGCTGCTTCTGCAAGCGCTCCACAGGGGCTCTTGCGGTTGACCCAGGCGATCCTGCCCGAGGTCAGGGTCATTATCCCCAGTATTTGGATGAGAAGACTGAGGCTGCACAAAGGGAGGAATTTGCCCAGCGTGGAGGGACAGGCCACACCCAGACCGGGGGCTGTCTGGGTTCCTCTGCCTTCCTCAGCTTCGTCTCTGGGAGGGGGTCCTCTCAGCACCCCGCCCCCAACCATTACCCAGGTGAGCCAGCATTCTCTTGTTGTGCTGCTGATATCTAAAGAACTGTGTATGGATCTCAAAAATTCTGGCACCGAAGTAAGTTTATCTATTCTTTTTTTTTCTCTATTCTTTTTTTAATATGTCTTTTTAAGACAGAGTTACAGGGAGAGAGACAGAGAGTCCTCCACCTGCTAGTTCATTCCTCAAATGGCTGTATCAGCCAGGGCTGCTGGGCCAGGCTGAAACAAGAATTAGGAACTCCATCTGAGTCACCCACATGGGTAGAGGGACCCAAACACTTGGGCCATCCTTTGCTGCTTTCCTGGGTGCATCAGCATGAAGCTGGATCAGAAGTGGAGCAGCTGGGCATTGAACTGGTATCCATGTGGGACCACAGTGTTGTAGGTGGCAGCTTTACCTGCTACACCACAATGCCAGCCCCTTCAACTTATTTATTTATTTTAAAATTGATATGTATTTCAGAGCAGACAGTCATAGAGAGAAATAGAGACCGATCGCTCATTTGCTGGCTCACTCCCCAAATCCTGCTGCAGCTAGGACTGTGTTGGGCGGAAGCAGGCAACTAAGAACGCTATCTGAGCCTCCCATGTGAGGAGCAGCAGCCCAGCTACTGCTGCCCCAGGGGCATATAAGTCACACGTGTGACTGACTAGGACAGTCATGTGGGAGGCATCCTTAGTTCCTCTGCTCAGCCTCTTCTGGCCAGGCTGTGTCCCACTCTGGGATGGCTTTTGTGGGGATGTGTCCTGGCTAAGTGTCAGGTGGTGGGTTCAGGTTCCCAACCCTTTGGACTCACAGCCCAGCTGGGGACTCTCAAAGTGAAGATATAGAGAATCCTCACTGGAGATAGGTTGAATCCAAGGGGATATTAGAGTGACATTCCTAAGCCAGGACCAGGTATGCCAGCTGTTGTTGCACTTCAAGGTCAGGAGGCAAGCTCCTCCCTGAGCCTGGACTGGAGAGCAAGAGGGACAGAGCATGCATTGGATGGGGGCTACCGAGTCCCTCCCTGGAGAACAGGCACTCACTGGGTACTGGCCTGCTCCTGGTTCTCAGGGAGGCACCGTGGCTAGAGGATGAGGCATGGGCCGGCACCTTCAGAGAGGGTGCCCTCACTGTGCCATCAGCCGCGTCCTTCATGTTTGTCTGGCAACCTCAAGTTCCTGTAGGCTCTCCTTCTCCTCCCTTCTTCCTGGAGAGGCTGGGAGGTAAAGATCCTTCAGGTAGCACCTCCCTCCATGGAGCCTCCCTCCTACCTCTTCACGCAATATCTCCTTCAGTACCAAGCCAGCAGGGCCCTTGCTGGGAAGCTCTGAGTCCCAGGAGATCCTCCATGATATTGTCCGAGGCAGGACAGGACAGATCCTCATGGCGCTTTCTCTCCCGTGCAGGATGCTACAGAACAACCAGCTGCAAGGAGTCCCTGCAGAGGCGCTGAGGGAGCTGCCGAGCCTGCAGTCCTTGTGAGTCCCGGCACCCGGGGGAGTCCCTCGCTTCCTGGGGCCTGAGTCAAAGCCTATACATCCCTCTGCCCTGCACTCAGACCCTCTCCACATGGCCGCTGCTTCTGCCTTTGGTTTTTTAGGGTTTGGCTGTTGCCATCAGCATGTGTTCCTGTATATCCGTGTGTGTGTGTGTGTGTGTGTGTGTGTGTGTGTGTGTGTACGTGCGCATGTGTGTTTCAGGGGCTACAGACACCCACTGAGCACTATGGGAAAGGAACCTTCACAGGGAGAGCCACCAGGATGGTAGTCCTAGGTGACCTGGCCTTCTGCCACTGGAGCCCTGGGTAATGGTTGTGACAGGGTCGGGGTGGGGTGGATGGTACAGGCTGCCCCTGCCCTCCGCACTTGAGAAACGTCAGGAAAGGGCTGTCTCCCCCAACCACTTCCCCTGCTTGGAAGCTAGGACACCCTGAGGCTTGGAGGTGGTCTGCACCCTGAGGCTCCTAGGCCACCCCTCCTGGATCCATGACTTCCCAAGGGCAGAAGCAGGAGCAGGTACTCCAGGGTGACCCCACCCACTGCCATCTCAGGGCTGGGGCACTCAGGGCACAGCCCCACAGTACTTGTGAATAGCAATGAAAGTGTCAGGTACACCATCCTATTGAGTGATCTTAGAGTGGAGCTGTGTTGGGAGAAATTGAAGTTGAGGGACAGGACCGGTGTCTGGTGTTTAGCCTGTCGGTGACACTGGGCACAGCTGGCCTGCCGTGTGTCAGCACAAAGCCCTCTGGTGTCCTTGGTGTGTGAGAGGAAGTTGAAGCTCTCATCTGTCGAGGGGTCTCCTTGGGTGGGAGGAGGCAGGGACTGGGAGGGGCACATTTCCTTCAGTCCCCTCCCACATCCTCCCCTGCTGCTGCAGGATCCTCCTGCCTCTGGTCAGCACCACGATGCCCACCATGCAGCTGCCCAGTTGGCCCCAATGGCAGAACCTGGCTCCTCACTCTCACCTGCCCCTCCATCCAACCTCACCTCCTTGAAGTGGCCTTTCCGCTTCAGACGGTGTGGAGGACTTTCAGCAGGGGGAGCAGTCTTTGTAAAATCTCACTGGCAGCAGTGGCTGTAGGAGACCCCAGGTAGTCAAAAATGTGACCTCTGTGGGTTGGGTTCTAGCAGTGATGAGGTGGCCCCCACATGCCCCGGCAGGCTGGAGTGGAATGAGGCAATGGGAGTTAGAGACTTAGAACAGCACCATGGTTCCTAGTAGTAATATGGACAGGTGGGAGTGGAGGGAGGGAAGTGACAACGACACCCATTTCTCTGGTCAGACTCACTGAGAAGAAGCTGGCTGAATAGCAGGTATGTGGGGACTCCCAGGGGATAAAGGATTTGGAGGTGCAGAGAAAGGCACTACTGGGGTTCCCTTGCATGTGTTAAGTTGGGGATACCACAGGTGAAGGCAGACACGGTCGACATCAGTATGTTTTGGTGTGTGTGGGAAGGTTGTGTCCTGAAGTTATGGGAGCTGAGGGATTCACAGAGAGGGGGAGGGAGAGAGAGAGAGAGAGAGAGAGAGAAAGAGAGAGAGAGCAAGCTACTTATAATCCCATTCAGATGCCCACAATCTTGGAAGGCTACAGTTAACCAAGGCCCAGGCTGCTGAAGGGAGAGGGTGGGGTGATGGACACCCGCCAGCCATGGGCCCTGTGTGCCAGGGTGCCTAGTGTTGACCCCCATTTCCCCCACACAGTCCCCCTTTAATAACTGCCTTCTCTGTCACCAGACAGGAAAGTAGAGTCAGCTGGGTCCAGCACTCCTTGACTGTCAGAGCTAGTGTTGGGATTCAGAGACCCTTGGGGAAGCCACTTGGGACAGCCCTTGTGGGTGGCTCAGCATGTGGCAGTATCCTTCCCATGGGCAGTGGAGGCATGAGAGAGGCTTCTAGGGGCCCATTGCCCAGGGTGTTCTGCCTGGTACCTCCTCAGGAGGCCAGGCTGCTCCCAAACATGGGATGGTCCTATGCTATATCTGCCTTCTCCTAGTTAGACCCAGATGCTGCCCACGCAGTAGGGTGAGGCTGGGCGGGAGGTGGGGGAATGGACCAGGAGCGGGAGTCAGGGAAGGGGTGAGGCCAGTCAGCCCAGCATTTCAGGTGGCCTTGCATTCCAGGCCCAGGTATAGCGCTGGCAGTGGCGCACTGGCTGTTTAGCTTGGCCCCTTGAGCAGGCAGCACTGGGCTGCATGACCCCGCCCCCCTCCCTGGATGCCCGGGCTCCCTCCCCGACCAGTGTGGGAGGGGGAGGGCAACCACGCCAGAGGTGTCGCACCAAGCTGAGTTCAGGCCAAAAGAAACCACGGGAAGCCAGCAAAGGGGGTGGGGGGGAGGTAGGGAAACAGAGACTGGGCAAGGGGAGTGGACCCAGGGCGGGGGCTAGGGGGCTCCTGGAAAAACAGAACTGAAAGAGAGGGACAGGACGGGCAGGCTAGTCCCAGCAGAACGGGAAAGGTACCGCTGCAGAGAGCAGGGGAGCAAAGCGGGGAGCAAACGGGAACATGGCCCTGATCTGGAGACCTTCTGGGGGAAGGGGCCTGGGCACAGTCATAGGGGCCTGCTGTCGCTGTGTGGGCAACTCACAGGGGTGAACCAACTAGGGGCAGTTTCATGGCTGCCACCCAAGTTAGAGCCGCCCCTTGCTTCCCCGCCCTGGTCGAGGCCCATGCGCAATATGTGTTGGCTGCCTGCCACTGGGAACTGGAGGAAATAGCCAGGTGGGGTTCGGGTGGGTGGGGTACAAGAGGATGTGCTTATGGATGCCAGAAGCGGCTGACCCAGGTGAGGTGGGAACAGAGGAGGGGCTCTTACCCAGCCTGCTGCAAGATGCAAAACCCACTCACTTCTCTCATTTAATCCCAAGAGCCCTGAAGGTTGAGTCCGTCATGCCCACTGTACAGTTGTGGCCACTAAAATCCAGGCAATCTAAGTACTGGCTGGAGGTCCCACAGTGTGGAGGCCGCAGAGCTGGAGTTTCTGCTCTGACTCCAAAGTGCTGGGCTCCAGCAGCTTTGCCTTTGAGTACCCTCTCCCCTTTCCTTAAAGCTGCAGTGCTGGGGGACTCTAGTTTAAGCTCTGGCTCTGTCACTGATTAGTTATGAGGCCATGGGCCGGTCATTTGAGTTTAAGGGTTCCCCTCTCTAATATGGGAGGCTCCCATGGGGCAAATAGGGGTGAGTGTTGTGCTTGGAATGCCTCATCCTGTGTTGGACGCAGTGGCATGCTCCATTCCTGACTCTTCCACTTTCTATCCAGTTTCATGTTAATGTGCCTGGGAGGGAGCAGGTGATGACGATGACCTAGGTGCTTGGGTTCCTGCCACCTGCATAGGAGACCTTGATGTAGTTCTGGCTCCTGGTTTTTGCTGTTGCAGTCATTTGGGTATGGAAGATCTCTCTGTCACTCCTCTTAAAAAAATTCTTTTCTTCATAAGTGGGATAACTGGCAGATAGGTATCCTAAGAGTACAGATACCAGAACTTTCCAGTGAGGTATCCTGCTGTGCACCTGCTCTCTTTGAGTCTCTGCTTTACTCTCTGTGCACAGAAGAACTCTTCCATGAACCTGCTAGTCTCCGGGCACACTGCATTCTGAATGGAGAGGGAAGATCTGGGCTCCTCTGGGAATGAAGGGCTGAACCATTCTGTCCAATGCCAAGTGTTTCACAAGGACTGGGATTGGAGGTGTTTCCAGGGAAAGCCACAGGCCAGGGGCTTTGGAGCAGGGCCTCCTCATTCTGTTGCTCTGACCCTCCTCCAGGCTGTAGCTAGGGTCATTCTCATCACACCAGCCCTTGGGTAGCACCCTACACATCTTGCCCTTACCTCCCTGAGCCTCCACAACTCTGCCCAGTGGCCGTCACTCCCATTGTAGAGGCAAGCTAACAGAGGTCTGTGACTTGCAGCAGAGGTGGTGCCAATGCACAGACCTGGGTGCTGGCTGCCTCCCAGGGGACAGCCCTGGGGGTGAGTCCAAGGTCCTTAGGCATTTAGCTCAGCAGGTGTGCTGTCTTACCTGAGGCCAAGGAGAGTGAAGTGGAGCAGGTACTGGTTGCCAGGAGAGCTGTGGCTGTTGACTGACACTCTGGCCTCAGCAGCAATAACCCTGGAAGCCCTCCTCATGGATGGGATCCCCACAGATGCCTAGAGAGAGGGACAAGACTGGCTGTGCCTGAAGACTGGCACCCGGGATGAGCACCTGTCACCAGTGGACCTCTTTCATCTTGCCCCTGGTAATCTCGTGCTTGTGTTTTCAACCCCAAGAAAGGGAGTACCATTTTGGTGAGTGCCTTGGCCAAGATTATCTGTGGATCATAGTAGAGCTGGAGGCAGAACAATGTGGGGTCTTCTTATTAAAATGTGTTAATCAAATTTCTTTGAGTTTGAAGGGGTGATGAAGAGAGGGAGGGAGCTCCCACCCACTGGTTCTTTTTACTTTATTTATTTATTTATTTATTTTTGGAAAATCAGACTTAGAGACAGACAGACACAGAGAAAGATTTTTCATCTGCTGGTTCACTCCCAAAGTGGCTGCAACAGCTGGAGCAGAGCCAATCTGAAGCCAGGAGCCAGGGGCCTCTTCCAGGTCTTTCAGGTGGGTGCAGGGTCCCAAGGCTTTAGGCCATTCTTGACTGCTTTCTCATGCTGCAAGCAGGGAACTGGATAGTAAGTGGAGCAGCTGGGACATGAACCAGTGCCCATATGGGATCCTGGCATGTGCAAGGTGAGGACTTTAGCCATTAGGCTATCATGCTGGGCCCCATCCATTGGTTCTCAATCCACATACTTTGGCCCTGACTTACTGCCTCCCAGGGCATGCATCAGCAGGGAGCTGGAACTGGAAGCAGAGGTGGGACTTGAACCCAGACACTTTGAGTACAGATGCAGGTGTCTCAAGCAGGCCACTGTGTCTCAACACCTGGCCACTGCGTACAGGGTCGTCTTCTTCTTCTTTTTTTAAGATTTATTTAT